GGAGAACACGGTGAACGTGTGGAGAACACGGTGAACGTGTGGAGAACACGGTGAACACATGGAGAACACGGTGAACACATGGAGAACACGGTGAACGTGTGGAGAACACGGTGAACGTGTGGAGAACACGGTGAACGTGTGGAGAACACGGTGAACGTATGGAGAACACGGTGAACACATGGAGAACACGGTGAACGTATGGAGAACACGGTGAACGTGTGGAGAACACGGTGAACGTGTGGAGAACACGGTGAACATTTGGTGAACACGGTGAACGTATGGAGAACACGGTGAACGTATGGAGAACACGGTGAACACATGGAGAACACGGTGAACACATGGAGAACACGTTGAACATATGGAAAACACGGTAAACACATGGAGAACACAGTGAACACATGGAGAACACCGTGAACACATGGAGAACACGGTGAACGTATGGAGAACACGGTGAACACATGGAAAACACGGTGAACACATGGAGAACACGGTGAACGTACGGAGAACACCGTGAACACATGGAGAACACGGTGAAGACATGGAAAGCACGGTGAACACATGGAGAACACGGTGAACACATGGAGAACACGGTGAACGTATGGAGAACACGGTGAACGTGTGGAGAACACGGTGAACGTGTGGAGAACACGGTGAACATATGGAAAACACGGTGAACGTATGGTGAACACGGTGAACGTATGGAGAACACGGTGAACACATGGAGAACACGGTGAACACATGGAGAACACGTTGAACATATGGAAAACACGGTAAACACATGGAGAACACGGTGAACACATGGAGAACACCGTGAACACATGGAGAACACGGTGAACGTATGGAGAACACGGTGAACACATGGAAAACACGGTGAACACATGGAGAACACGGTGAACGTATGGAGAACACCGTGAACACATGGAGAACACGGTGAACACATGGAGAACACGGTGAAGACATGGAAAACACGGTGAACACATGGAGAACACGGTGAACACATGGAGAACACGGTGAACACATGGAGAACACGGTGAACATATGAAGAACACGGTGAACACATGGAGAACACGTTGAACGCATGGAGAACACAGGGAACACATGGAGAACACGATGAACACATGGAGAACACGGTGAACGTATGGAGAACACGGTGAACACATGGAGAACACGGTGAATACATGGAGAACACGGTGAACGTATGGAGAACACGGTGAACACATGGAGAACACGGTGAACATATGGAGAACACAGTGAACACATGGAGAACACGATGAACACATGGAGAACACGGTGAACGTATGGAGAACACGGTGAACACATGGAGAACACGGTGAACACATGGAGAACACTGTGAACACATGGAGAACACGGTGAACATATCGAGAACACGGTGAACACATGGAGAACACGGTGAACACATGGAGAACACGGTGAACGTATGGAGAACACGGTGAACACATGGAGAACACGGTGAACACATGGAGAACACGGTGAAGACATGGAGAACACGGTGAGCATATGGAGAACACGGTGAACGTATGGAGAACACGGTGAACACATGGAGAACACGGTGAAGACATGGAGAACACGGTGAAGACATGGAGAACACGGTGAAGACATGGAGAACACGGTGAACACATGGAGAACACGGTGAAGACATGGAGAACACGGTGAGCATATGGAGAACACGGTGAAGACATGGAAAACACGGTGAACACATGGAGAACACGGTGAACACATGGAGAACATGGTGAACACATGGAGAACACGGTGAACACATGGAGAACACGGTCAACACCTGGAGAACATGGTGAACACATGGAGAACACGGTGAACACATGGAGAACACGGTGAACACATGGAGAACATGGTGAACACATGGAGAACACGGTGAACACATGGAGAACACGGTTAACACATGGAGAACATGGTGAACACATGGAGAACACGGTGAACACATGGAGAACACGGTCAACACCTGGAGAACATGGTGAACACATGGAGAACACGGTGAACACATGGAGAACACGGTGAACACATATAGAACATGGTGAACACATCGAGAACACGGTGAACACATGGAGAACATGGTGAACACATGGAGAACACGGTGAACACCTGGAGAACACGGTGAACACATGGAGAACACGGTCAACACCTGGAGAACATGGTGAACACATTACAATATAGACAGGATAGAAACATCACAGCTAAGAGTAACCATAGAAGGAGGAGGAGGAAGAGGAAGAGGAAGAATAGAATAAAAGAAGAATAGAAGAAGGAAGAGAAGGAGTTATAGAAGGTAACGAAACATAATCAAAAATTAAGATGATACAAGACGATAATGAAAGATGGTGAAAGATCAAAGAAGCATGGTCGTCCCCCCTTCCTCTCCCCCATTCCCCCTTCCTCCCCCATTCCCCACCCTTTCCCCTCCCCCTGACCCAGCAGTGGGTGTTCCACAGGACCAACTGTAGCTTCCCCGTCAGTTTCTCTGGTACGGTGATGCGTGGTACACCGTGTGTGTGTGGGACGCGCCTCCCACCCAGTGTACGTGTGTGAGTGTGTGTGTGTGTGTGTGTGTGTGTGTGTGTGTGTGTGTGTGTGTGTGTGTGTGTGTGTGTGTGTTAGACAAATATATGAGTGGGTGTGGGTTGGACATACCTAGCATGGGCCAGTAGGCTTGCTGCAGTGCTCCTTCTCTGTGAAACTATGCTGTGACTAGCACCTCTGTGCCATCCAGTGTTCTATAGCCCTGCCACCCAGTGTTCTATATCTCTGCCATCCAGCGTTCTATATCCCCACCACCCAGTGTTCCATGTCTCTGCCACCCAGTGTTCTATATCCCTGCCACCAAGTGTTCTATATCTCTGCCACACAGTGTAATATATCCCTGCCACCCAGTGTTCTATATCCCTGCCACCCAGTGTTCTATATCCCTGCCACTCAGTGTTCTATATCCCTGCCACCAAGTGTTCTATATCCCTGCCACCCAGTGTTCTATATCCCTGCCACCCAGTGTTCTATATCCCTGCCACCCAGTGGTCTATATCCCTGCCACCCAGTGTTCTATATCCCTGCCACCCAGTGTTCTATATCCCTGCCACCCAGTGTTCTATGTCCCTGCCACCCAGTGTTCTATATCCCTGCCACCAAGTGTTCTATATCTCTGCCACCCAATGTTCTATATCTCTGCCGCTCAGTGTTCTATATCTCTGCCATCCAGTGTTCTATATCCCTGCCACCCAGTGTTCTATGTCCCTGCCACCCAGTGTTCTATATCCCTGCCACCAAGTGTTCTATATCTCTGCCATCCAGTGTTCTATATCCCTGCCACCCAATGTTCAATATCCCTGCCACCCAGTGTTCTATATCCCTGCCACCCAGTGCTCTATATCCCTGCCACCCAGTGCTCTATATCCCTGCCACCCAGTGCTCTATATCCCTGCCACCCAGTGCTCTATATCCCTGCCACCCAGTGCTCTATATCCCTGCCACCCAGTGTTCTATATCTCTGCCACCCAGTGTTCCACATAGCTGCCACCCAATGTTACATATCCCTGCCACCCAGTGAATGCAACTGATGTGAAAATATGCAATACATACATACATATACACATATGTTTATATAATATATATATATATATATATATATATATATATATATATATATATATATATATATATATATATATATATATATATATATTTAACAAGTCGGCCGTCTCCCACCGAGGCAGGGTGACCCAAAAAAGAAAGAAAATCCCAAAAAGAAAATACTTTCATTATCATTCAACACTTTCACCACACTCACACATTATCACTGTTTTTACAGAGGTGCTCAGAATACAACAGTTTAGCAGCATATACGTATAAAGATACACAACATATCCCTCCAAACTGCCAATATCCCAAACTCCTCCTTTAAAGTGCAGGCATTGTACTTCCCATTTCCAGGACTCAAGTCCGGCTATATAAAAATAACCGGTTTCCCTGACTCCCTTCACTAAATATTACCCTGTTCATATTCCAACAGCTCGTCAGGTCCCGAAAACCATTCGTCTCCATTCACTCCTATCTAAGACAGTAACGCAAGCTTGCTGGAAGTCCAAGCCCCTCGCCAACAAAACCTCCTTTACCAACTCCCTCCAACCTTTTCGAGTTGAAGATTGAGACACTTATGCAACATATGGGAATCTTTATTCAGGAAACGTTTCGCCACCTCAAACTCCTCCTATCCTTACACCTGCTTTGTATTGGACTGACGAAGCCACTGTGTGGCGAAACGTTTCCTGAATAAAGATTCCCATATGTTGCATAAGTGTCTCAATCTTCAACTTGTCGGTTTTCCAAACCATTCATCACAACCTTATCGAGGACGACCCCTACTCCGCTTTTCTTCCCCTACAGATTTATATGCTCTCCATGTCATTCTACTTTAATCCATTCTCTCTAAATGACCAAACCACACACACACACACACACACACACACACACACACACACACACACACACACACACACACACACACACACACCACACACACACACACACACACACACACATATATATATATATATATATATATATATATATATATATATATATATATACATATAAAAAGTTATGTGTATTGTCGTATGCTTCTCCACATACAAATGGATACAGTTACCCACGTGGATATTTTTCTTATTAAATTTGATGCAACACATTGTGTTTACACTCATATATACGATTTTACAAGGTCAGAGAAGAAGCAGCATCCTTTATCTCACTACCGCCATCATACACATGATGCTACTCTCATAATGATATCCTCATATATATATATATATAATATATATATATATATATATATATGTATATGTGTGTGTGTGTGTGTGTGTGTGTGTGTGTGTGTGTGTGTGTGTGTGTGTGTGTGTGTGTGTGTGTGTGTGTGTGTGTGTGTATCATGCTGGATAGGTAAAACTTGCGATATTAGCTTAAATATCAACGCTCTTCTTGCCGAATAAGGCAAGCGAAAGTTTGTGTATACAATAATTTCGCAAAAATCATTCTGAACCTAACGAAAAATATATATTTCATTGTGTTTATTATTAAATTATTGTAAACTTATCTAAAATATATTTAGCTGGATTAGGCTAAATTAAATTGGTATGCTCTTAGGTATACACTTACAATGTATATATTTTATACATTTGTAATGTATACACTTTAGGCATACCTTTGTAATGTATACAGCTTGGGCATACACTAATGTATACAACCTGGATATACACTTGTATACAACTTGGGCAGAGGCAATACATGGTAAGTCAGATACACAAGGACACAGAGTTTTACCGAGAGATGTTTCGCCTCGCCGAGGGCGAAAAGTGGCTAGATAGGAAAGCTAACCCAGTCCAAATTCCATCAAGGTTCTTTGGAGCTTTTAAGGGCTCTTGATCCAAGGAAAATGAGCATCTTTCCCCTGTAAAGCGAATCACCTGTCGCTGCTTTAATTAGGCTCGATTAGCTTTATTACCCGAGTCATTATTACCTCCATCAAATGTTAGATCAGGCTGTGTGAACTCGCGGGCCACCAACAGCAACAGCCTGGTTGAAAATAATGGTTAAAAACAGTTATATTTCGTGTTGTAAATAAAGGTTAAACCAGGTGGAGGAGCCGCAAATGTAGTATTACCAATCTATTAAAAACTCTAGCACCATTCCAGGTATAACTGTGATATACCTGTTGAAGGTATAGCATCTGTGATAATCCTCACAGCATCAGGGTTCATCCCTCAGTGGTTATCAATGCGTTATCTGCGCCCCATATACCGCTATCGCTGTCTATTTTAAATCTCGTTAGCGTACTTAGATAAAAAAGTAAGGAAGGGCGAAGTGTCATGGTGGTAGATAAGGAAGACCGACCTTCCTTATTTGTGGAGTGTTGTGACTACTGTGTGTGGTGTAGTGTTGTGACTATTGTGTGTGGTGTAGTGTTGTGACTATTGTGTGTGGTGTAGTGTTGTGACTATTGTGTGTGGTGTAGTGTTGTGACTACTGTGTGTGGTGTAGTGTTGTGACTATTGTGTGTGGTGTAGTGTTGTGACTATTGTGTGTGGTGTAGTGTTGTGACTATTGTGTGTGGTGTAGTGTTGTGACTACTGTGTGTGGTGTAGTGTTGTGACTATTGTGTGTGGTGTAGTGTTGTGTCTACTGTGTGTGGTGTAGTGTTGTGACTATTGTGTGTGGTGTAGTGTTGTGTCTACTGTGTGTGGTGTAGTGTTGTGACTATTGTGTGTGGTGTAGTGTTGTGTCTACTGTGTGTGGTGTAGTGTTGTGTCTACTGTGTGTGGTGTAGTGTTGTGACTATTGTGTGTGGTGTAGTGTTGTGTCTACTGTGTGTGGTGTAGTGTTGTGTCTACTGTGTGTGGTGTAGTGTTGTGACTATTGTGTGTGGTGTAGTGTTGTGTCTACTGTGTGTGGTGGAGTGTTGTGTCTACTGTGTGTGGTGGAGTGTTGTGTCTACTGTGTGTGGTGGAGTGTTGTGTCTACTGTGTGTGGTGTAGTGTTGTGACTATTGTGTGTGGTGTAGTGTTGTGACTACTGTGTGTGGTGGAGTGTTGTGTCTACTGTGTGTGGTGGAGTGTTGTGTCTACTGTGTGTGGTGGAGTGTTGTGACTACTGTGTGTGGTGTAGTGTTGTGTCTACTGTGTGTGGTGGAGTGTTGTGTCTACTGTGTGTGGTGGAGTGTTGTGTCTACTGTGTGTGGTGTAGTGTTGTGACTATTGTGTGTGGTGTAGTGTTGTGACTATTGTGTGTGGTGTAGTGTTGTGACTATTGTGTGTGGTGTAGTGTTGTGTCTACTGTGTGTGGTGGAGTGTTGTGTCTACTGTGTGTGGTGGAGTGTTGTGTCTACTGTGTGTGGTGGAGTGTTGTGTCTACTGTGTGTGGTGGAGTGTTGTGTCTACTGTGTGTGGTGTAGTGTTGTGACTATTGTGTGTGGTGTAGTGTTGTGACTATTGTGTGTGGTGTAGTGTTGTGACTATTGTGTGTGGTGTAGTGTTGTGTCTACTGTGTGTGGTGTAGTGTTGTGTCTACTGTGTGTGGTGGAGTGTTGTGTCTACTGTGTGTGGTGGAGTGTTGTGTCTACTGTGTGTGGTGGAGTGTTGTGTCTACTGTGTGTGGTGGAGTGTTTGTGTCTACTGTGTGTGGTGGAGTGTTGTGACTATTGTGTGTGGTGGAGTGTTGTGTCTACTGTGTGTGGTGGAGTGTTGTGTCTACTGTGTGTGGTGGAGTGTTGTGTCTACTGTGTGTGGTGGAGTGTTGTGTCTACTGTGTGTGGTGGAGTGTTGTGACTATTGTGTGTGGTGTGTAGTGTTGTGTCTACTGTGTGTGGTGTATTGTGTTGTGTCACTGTGTGTGGTGTAGTGTTGTGACTATTGTGTGTGGTGTAGTGTTGTGACTATTGTGTGTGGTGTAGTGTTGTGACTATTGTGTGTGGTGTAGTGTTGTGACTATTGTGTGTGGTGTAGTGTTGTGACTATTGTGTGTGGTGTAGTGTT